TAAATATTTGTACTCCGGACGATTTAGTTTACATGGCCTCGGGCTTTGAGGAGAAGCGATTTCGTTGGGGTGGATGTTGACGAGGTGAGACACGTTTTAGGTAAATGTGGTCCCTAGATTCGACGTGTCGCCCTACCTGGCTTCTATGTTGGGTTTCACTACCACCGTGCCGAGACTGTGGGCGACACCCGTGTATGCATACTAGACCCCAGAACGACTCCGTAGCCGATACGTGTTCCAATTTCTCCAAAGAACAGCTTTTCCATAACATGTACGTCTATTCGGACATTATCGACGACCAGATCGTCGGTCACACGCTGGCACCTCTGCTGACGTTGATACCCGTGAAAAAGAAAATGATGAAAGATGTAGTATACGTCAGCGAAAAAAATCCTATACAATATTTGTCTTTAAAATTTGACGAGATTCGTTCTGTGACTATTCTTATAAGGGACGATCGCGGACGACCCGTGTCATTTGCTGGCGGTCGGTCGGTGGTGATACTGCATTTTAAAAGCGAGGGGTGACATACTAACGATGTACGGTAATCATGGAGGTCACATACCGGTGTACGTCGGTAGACATTACGGACAGGGTGGTGCTGGTCTCGGAAATATATTAGACGCTATAGGTAGAATAGCAATGCCTCTGCTAAAGTCGACGGGTAAAGTATTACTGAGGGAGGGTGCCAAAGCTGCCGCGGGTGTTGTGGGCGATGTGGTGTCGGGTAGTGCAAAAGCGTCAGAAAGTATAAGGCGGCGTGGTAGTAGAGGCGGCAAAAGCACAATGTCGGGCGTTTTGGGACCATTTCAGACAGGAACGTCGAGCGGTAAGCGCCAGACGAATTAGTACGGGTACTCAGACACCGATAAAACGTAGGAAAAAAACAGAGGATTTCTACGGCTGGCGTGGGACGTGGCTCCCTGCTGAAAGAAAGAAGCGTAGGAGAAAGGTTAAAGAGAAGCTTGGTATTCTAGTAAAGATTAAAGCACGTAGTTTCAAATGATGATGTCGGGGAATATGGATCACGTGCAATGTGGTAAAAGTGAGCTGGATTTATTTTTACACACTCTTAATCAGCTACGGGTATGGTTTCCTTTACGATGACGGATTCACACTGGACCAAATATAGTCCCGTTACGGGTCTCGGACAGCTGGACGGTACCATAAGGTTTGATATCAATAACCCTATAAACAGCTACGTAGACCTGGCCGAATGTTACCTGAAAATTGTATGCTGAATTTAAGGCGGCGGATGGTCGCGCTACCGTGGCTGACAATGTGGTGGGCGAGGATGGTGAGACGGTGACTAGACACAGAGACGTTGTGCGCACCAGTGACAAACACTCTACATTCTCTATTTTCGTGAGGTAAGGGGTGATAGCGGGGTCTAACCAGCTAGAATTAACGGACAGCCTGGGTACATACCCGTACAGGCGTTTATCGAGCACGCTACTGAGTTGCGATCAATCGCAAATAGACAGCAACCTGGTAGCGCAGAGATTTCATTAAAGATAAGGCGGGTTGTTTCAATAACTTCACTCTAGGACAGGGAATTCTAACCCGGGATTCGAGGAACGACGACGCAAATGCGTCCCCAGTAGACCCGTAGAGCTCGTAGGGAAATTACACTCTGATTTGTTTATGCAGCATAGATATCTCATAGATGGCGTGCCTTTAAAAATTGAACTGATACGTAGTCCGCATAATTTCTACATGCTACACGGTAGCACAGACCAGGCTGGTACTCGCATACCCGGCTATGCTTGCCACATACTATCGGCCGAGTTTCATGTGAGACAGGTAAACGTAGCACCCGCCATTAGAGACAGTCATATCAGGGGTTTGACGCGTGGTAGCACTGTAAAGTATCCTATAGCCCAAGTGAAAACCACGGCACACGACATCCCTCAAGGCTTGAGAGAATATAATTCTGAACACTTAATAATGGGTCATATACCTAAAAGAATAGTACTAGGTCTCGTCGACAATGAATCCTTTGCGGGGGTTTCTAATAAAAATCCTTTTAATTTCCAACCTTTTGCGTTGACTGAAATAGCCGTGAAAGTGAACGGTCAGGAGGTAGGTAAAAGATGTCATACGGTCAATTTCGAGCCCGACTCTACGCGAATGTATCAGACATACCTGGAGCTGTTTAGAAATACGGGTGGTTTGGGGAGAAATTCCACGCACACAGTGACTCTGGAAGAATTTTTAGACGGTACTACGCTGTTTGTGTTCGATTTAACGCACGATTTGGGTGCCGACATGTCACACGTGTATGCGAAGAGCTCTGGTAAGGTTGGCATAGAATTGAAATTTTCGCAGCCAACGCCCCGAGCCTTGACGCTGGTGTGCTATAGAGAGTTGGACAGTATCATAGAATTTGACCACTTTAGAAATGCTACTATACACTGATGTAGACGACGGAGGGGTTACATATCCTTCTAAAATGTTGTACGGACGAGATTTACAATGGTTTGGACATAACGACCCTTTTTCTTAAAACTACTACGGTGGTATCAGTAGTAGGGATACCTTGGAAGAGGTGTGTGGTAATAAAATACGCAATATTATGCTTAGCGGGGTGAAAAGATTGAAATATCCCATTCTGTTTATTTGCAACACTGACAAGAAGAGTGAGCCGGGCAGTCACTGGTTCCGTTAAGTATAGAAGCACCCGGTAGATTACACATACACGACTCGTACGGGATAGATTACACGCGAATTTGGGTAGAATTTCACGATTTTGTGTCAAAATATGGTCGTTTGCAATATACCCACAATAGAGTTGGCGTGCAGAGTCTATCGTCTGTAGCTTGCGGACACCATAGCCTATATTTCAGTAGCTGTCGTTCTAGGGGTATTTCCAACGACGAGATAGTGAAACATTACAGTGAAAAGAACACGCTTAAGAACGACTCGACGGTTTTCAAATGGTACGATGATAGCGTGAAACGTATGCTCGAAAAATTCTAAATAGGCGCGGGAGTAAGGTTGTGTATTGTTAGTGGATTCTGTTTTGATTAACGGTGACAGAGACCCGTGCGTGTTTGCTCCGACACGTTGGTATAACGAAGCGTGGTGTACGGGTGCTTAGTGCCTGAGGGTGTGGATTGGCGTATGCCCCCCGGGGATTGACGATGCTGTCACCCCCACCGTCGCTAACCTGACAGCTCGACTTCCCACGGAGGGATTGACGATGATGTCACGCACGTCGTTACCCGTGACTGACTGACCTACCACGGAGAGATTGACGATGATGTCACGAGCGTGGTGACCCCCTGACTGACTGACCTGCCACGGAGGGATTGACGATGGTGTCACGCACGTGGTTACCCCTGACTGACTGACCAGTCAGTTAGAACCCGACAGTGGGAGAGCGAGGTTGTGTCCACTCACCATAGCAAAGATGTCTCAGTACTACGATACTCTTAAATACCAGAAGGATGGAGAAAGGGGTGAGGATGATACAGACGCGAGGAAGAAGCCCGTGACTTTATGGGACTATGTATACGAAGACGGTGTAACTCTGGATGGTAAATATCGTTTTCAACGTGGGCACGACAGCTGCGGGAAACAACCAACGGTGGTGCACAGAAAGCTGTTGGTGGATTTAAGTGAGAACTACTGTCACGAAACGATGTTATGTGGCTACGACAGGATGGCTACTTTTAAGGACTGGCCCGAACAGCTGGTTCAGAAGGGTAGACAGCTAGCCCGGAGAGGGTTTTATTATACCGGTGTTTCGGACAAGGTGGCGTGTGCCTGGTGTGGATTACGATTGTGGAAATGGTGTGCCGAGGATGATATCGACTTTGAACATCACAGGTTTAGCCCCTGGTGCTCATTCCTGAAAATTACGTGTCCCTACAAATTCGATAGTGATACGAGGACTGTTTTGTGAACTGAGAGCTGAATTGTGAGTAATACGATGTAATATAAGCATATTTACGAATAAAATTTGTGAAATGTTGTTTACTTGTCTCTGTTGTGTTTTATAAAAAGAAAAGTGTTGACGATGTCTACCTCGTGGGTACATTTTTGGGGGTGGTGGTGGTTTTAAACAATGAAGAATACGATGTTCGTACGGTCTTGTATTGTAGAGAGCTTTACATAGACTGTACGACTCGATGGTAGAATATAACCGCCTTCCCGTGATGTATTGTAGAGAGCTTTACATAAACCGGAGGGCGTGTTATTGAGCGTCTTGATGCATTTGTTTTGCTGTCTTGTATTGTAGAGAGCTTTACATCGACAGCACGACATTTACAGACCTCTTTTTTCAAAATTGTTCCCTGTTTGGGGTTTACTATACGAGGTAAAAGAACGTAACCTCCCGTACTGCTTTTTGTACCTCACAGATTTGTTTTATGTAGAATATCACCGTCTTGTATTGTAGAGCTTTACACAGACGCGTGATTAAGAGTGTGTAATAGGTATGTCTTGCGGTGTAGTATTGTAGAGAGCTTTACATAGACTGTACGACATTCCTAGCCTCCTTCAAAATTTAAATGACACGCTAACGGTGAGATGGAGGTTATTTGACGGATGCACTCAGGATTTCTTATGGTGGCCATTTGTGTGTGTGTGTGATGTGACAGAGATGGCGAGTGAGCGCCTTTTTTCCCTACGTCAGACACTGTGACGTCTTTTTTTTTTTCCTACGTATAGCGTGGTTAGCTCCTATTTTGCATCATGGCCACCACGTGACGTCATGATGGTGGGTGTTTTTCCTACGTCACGGGTGGGTCAACGTCATAGTGGTGGCGAGTGTTTTTCTGACGTCACAGGGCGGTCAACACCTCCCCGTGACGTCATGGTGGTGGTGAGTGTTTTTCCGACGTCACGGGGAGGTCAACGCCTCCCCGTGACGTCATGGTGTTGGGCCAGCGCTTCCCCGAGGGCATATTACGTCACCTCGGAAAAGCGCTGGCACCTTACTACTTGGCAACAGTTATTGATGTTCTTCAACTCAAATTGAAACTTGAAAGTGAGCCTGAGATCAAACTTAATTATTCTTGATAATCATTTACCTTATCAGCAAAACAACCACCACGGCATTGACAGCAACAAGGATCCCCGCTATCACCCATCCGGCGATTAACAAACCTGTAATGAACACACACACAATTATGGGTACGTTAGATATCAGTCGTCTCTTTGTGGCTATTGCAGATGTGTTCAGTCGCGGTTTCCATGTAATATTTTTTAATAATTATTATATTTATATACACAATTATATTTCCGGGATTATACACAGTTTCATTTCTATAACTTCGACCCATACATACGTTGTCAATTTCTTTGAAAGTTTCTTCACACTGAGACCATTGGCGAATACTTTCACACATGTTGTACCAAAAAGACATTACTTGTTACTCTGCCTGGCGCTCGGCATTGTGGTGTTAAAACAAAGAATCGTTGGCTTTTAATGGGATCCACTCCTCTCTGTGACTGAGTTGCGAGTATTACATACTTCAATGCATATTGCCAGTAGACGTATTACAATGGGACATCATTAAAACCAAATTACCAAATGGCAGCTACACTGTCTATCCATCCTTCCATGCTATCGAAAGTTATGTATATGTATAAGCTAACGGTAAAAAGAAAATCAGTATCTTAAGTGTACTTTGACGTCGTATGAATATTTAAATTCCATTATCAGATTGATCACTTCAATAACTTGAAAATGCTCTCATACGATTATGCACGTTTCTTTCTTGGTGTTTGCGCTATCTGATTGTTCTAGGACAAAATGTTACCACGGTTCCTTTGTAATGAAGGTTACCTCCATGGTCTAGTGGATACCCTTTCTATATGGAGGTCGGGAGATCTGTTTTCCGACCTCCTGGTTGTGTTATACCAAAAATACATTACTTGTTACTCTACCTGACCCTCGGCATCATGGTAATAAAACAAGGAATCGTTGGCTTTTAATGGGACCCACCCCTTTCTGTGATGTAGTTGCGAGCATTACATACGTCAGTGCATCTAATTCGCGGAATATCTAACAGTATAATATCATGAAATAGACAGTGACTTATTTTACCTGAGACAGGCAAGTCTTTTTCAGTTGAAACCGTTAACCACACTATTTTGTTAATTTAGGCCCAACATGCCAATGAAACGAGTCGAGTGACACATATTTTACTACATTTATCCATCTTATTTATATTTTTAAATATGTACATAAATCTGAATGCGCCGTTAATACTTATAGATACGTACAAGACAGATATCCCTGCGAGTTAGAGTATAAGGATATCTATCTTCGCATATAATTAGCAAATTCGCACAAATGATAATTAACAATGTTATACAAATCAGAAAATTGTAACTGTTAGATACAAAGAATGTAAATTGAATGCATTGATATGGTAATGATTTCAAATTGTAATAACACATATGGTGGCATATCACATTTTATGTACAGATAGGAAACAGTTTTAGGTCCTATGAGGTACGTTTACATGAGATGTTCATACCGGGGAAAGACGTGTGTTCCACTGTTGTGCCTTCAGGTGTACTGTCATCAGTACCAGATTGAGTGTTTGTGACGGGTGAGGATGATCGGTTTTCTGACGATAATACTGTTTTCGACCCCGTGGTAGACGCCAACACAGTAGTATATGTCGAAGTAGACAAAGGTTTAGTTGAACTAGGTGTCGATGTGGAAGATGAAGTGAAGAGATGAAGTGGTGATGTTGCGAGTGATGCTGTAGTAGTCGATATTGATGAGGAAATGACATTAACGGTTGCCGTTTGCGGTGGCGTTGTAGTTGATGGAGTTAGTGTCGTCGTTGTCGTTGTAGAAAGAGGGCATTCTATAGATATGTTGGCCGCTACGGATGGAAGGAAGATAATGTCAGAGGCTATGTGATTATTTCAATAGATTTCATAAAATCATAAAGATATACTAACATTTGTTGTTTTTTAAACTATGTTATTCAAGTGAGCAATCCTACGAATATAAACCGCTAAAATGAGACTGTATTGCAAATTAATCATAATGTAGATTTGTTTCATCTCAAATCATGTGACTGTGTGCCAGCTGCTTTAATCATGTGCTTTTATCTAGAGACGGAAGCCATTCTTCACAAAATCATTTATCGATTTAGTGGTATGTTTACACTTGAAGGAAAACCAAGTTCTATGGATAGTCAACTTCTTTATTGCAATGAGTGCACTTGATCATTACGTTGTTACCCATTTTATGGCCTACATGTTTACTGCCATTGAAGTGAAAACATACCTGCTGCGGTTACCTCAACCTCCACACAAAACCTGATATCTGGAGCGTTGTAGGCAAAGGAGACCACACCGGTACCTGGATACATAACATTGTTTGTGCTGAACGTCCATCCACAGTCTCTCCTTGAGCGATCGGTCAGTGTCAGTGTACCTCCACAGGTTGCTGTAGTGTTAGTCACGCTGACCGGAGTAAAATACACTATCGTTGCAACACCCGTGATAGTCAGGTAACAGTCACACCGCTGTACACCGCCTGCTGGAGACCCGTGTAGGTAGAAGTGACGGTCCGTGGTTGAGCCTCCTTTACACATCTCTACAACTGATATCACATATACGCTTGGAATATTTTATGGCTACACTTCTACTGAAGTAATACACTCTTCAAAAGCCATTTAATAAACAGAATATTCGATCTTTAGCACAGTTTAATGCGGAACACCTGTTTAACAATTTAACAAATGTGCCATAGGTTTATTATTGATATGATACATGTTGAAACATCAGACACGTACGTATGTGCGAAAGGGATCGTTTATAAATTATTGCTGGGGGGAGTGATGATGGTTTTAGGGAGGGGGGTTCACCCATTTTGCTCTGGGAAGTTAGGGGGGTTATCAACTTTGTACACATGAACTTTTGAATCTTTATTTTCTTTGTAGTGGAGGCCATAGGCCCAGGTTACACTTCAGGATTTCAGAGCGGTGCATATGTGCATATGCAGTTTAGAAGACAATAAGTTAATTTACAAAGTATACAAAAGGAAGTATGATTTTATTGGCAAAGAAGTGAATCTCTAAGTTTCATTGCATTGTGTATATAAATAGCTAGGTTTCTTACAGTATATGGATTGCCAGTTGACATGAGCATATTGAACTTATGAATAGTGGGATTCGAATAAAAGTTATGTGGTAAATACAAACATCGCAGATTTTGATAACATTACATACCAAAATAAAATGGAATTCATTTTCAATAAAGTTATCTTTACATACAAAACATAATCTATTTGATCTGGGTTGATTAATATAGCGACCGGTTTCAATTTGGAGGCGGTGTGAAGAACATCTGAATTTAGCAAGGGCCGATCGGAATTTTGAAATTGATAAGTCTTTTATGTAAAATTCAACTTTAAATGAGATTTTAAAACAAGAATAAAGCGAAAATTTAGGACTATTTAAAAGCGATGTGTGCCATTCTTGTTCATATCATAACTTGCTCTTAATCTAAAAACAAATTCTGATATGAATTTATCGACATTACATAAATTTTGCTGCTGTTCCCACATAAAGCCAAATCCAAAAGAGTAAAGAATATTCTTAATTTTTGATGCCCAGTTTGTTTTATCATTTACAGAGTCTAAAACTAACATCGTTTAACATTTCTTTACAAATCTGGAATCGGGCATTTTGCATATTTTACACCAATATTTAACAACCTTTTTATATATACATACATACATTGGATAACGGCCACATTCTCCCCTAACTACATGGTTTGAAGTCGACCGTTTGACATTTAAAAAACGTTTACAACAAAACATATGTACAACTTTGACTTCTTTAAAGTTATCAACTCCCCATATTTCAGCTCCATATAAAAGAATCGGACTAATTTTTGTATCAAATATCTTAAAAAATAAATCATAAGGAAGTTGATTAAACGTATAAAGAGCGTTATTCACATGGGGAGACCAAGATAGAGAACGTGCAAATAAAATACCCAAATATTTGAAAGATGAAACAGTTTCCAAAAGAATTCCACTGAAATGCCATTTTTCATATTTTGATGGACTATGGGGGTTCAGCAATTTTGTGCATAAGTAATTAAGTAATATAGATAAATACTATGGTAAAATTGTTTGGGAGGGGTTGTCATTGATTTTGTACATGACATGCAGGGGGTCACTTACTTGGTACATAAATTTTAGGGGGGGGGGGGGCATACACAATGAACATGCTTCTCCATAAAAACCATCACCCCACCCTCCCCCTACCAATAAATTATGAACGACCCCTAAATTAACATATTTTAAGTACTACCGGAAGGTCGCAGGTTCGATCCCCGGCCGCGTCATATCCAAAGACGTTAAAATATGGCACTTGTTGTTTTTACCTGCCTGTCTCCCTAGTATTGTGACCTACCTTCAGTCGTTGGCATTCTATAGCCTGTTTTTATATTGTTTTGTCATTTATAGTTGAAATATTTTAGATTTTGTTACTAGTTTTATATGGATATCTGTGATACACTAGTAGTTTTACTGTTCTTCGTCAACAGGCTTTTAATTTCTAACTTTGTTCATCTTGTATATAATTATTAATTGTTCCCGTCACGATCTGGCTGAAATATTGGCGATGTGACGATAAAAAATAACTCACTCACTCACTCCCTCCCTGCCTGTCGCGAGGATTTAATGGGTACAACACGGACTTATCGGCTCGGAGTCACTATAATGTGTATCTCAGCACTATAAAACCAGCCTAAGTCTGGGCTAGTACAAGCAGTCACACAGACGCATACACTTCGTCATATGAGCGAAATATACGACGTTCATTTCACCTCACCTCACCTCACCTCACCTCACCTCACCTTTCAAAGCTGAATTTCCCCCACATGCTGCCACTGCAATAAACAAAACAAAATAGTTGCAAGTATTGCATAATACAAACATAAACGCACACAGGAAAAAATATATTGGTCGTATACATACAAAATAACTATATTCTGAGGCACATATTCGTATTAACGTCACACGACAAGGAAGATACAAACAATATAGTTCATTACTCACACCGCTTGAACCACTGGGCATCATGCTTCTTCACTTATGCAAATTGTCAGCAGCATGTCAGTAGCACCTGCATCATAACAGTAACGAAGGAAATACTTACCGCCATTGATCATACTAAACTGAAACAAACACATTATAATGACTCGAGATGCCATGTTTCATAGTCCGTGTTCCACTTACAGCCTCCCTATATTGTACTTCCTGGTAGATGTGTATTGTAAAACGCTATTTCATGAGTAGTCATCCGTGAACGGGTTAGCCAGGTATGACATCACGATCTCCATACGTAAGTATCGTTTACATGAATGGGTAGAGATCCCAGTGAAGTTAATGCAGGTTTTAAAGTGTGTGGGGCTTCAGTTGTACATTGATGTTAGATTATTTCAAACTTTTGTGAAGTTCACGTGAATTTCGAAAGGCGTGTCACACTACCGATAGTTAATACGTACTTCCTTATTTGTTTGTAGAATTAGCCTTGCCACTGGAAATGTGCACGCACGCTAGTTTCACATATAGAATTCCATAATACCCTGTTATCGATGTGACTGTCAACAGTAAACATAGAAGCATTGTTGAATTATCAAATTATCGATATGACGTCATATAGTGGCAGTCTGTATAATGAATATAGTCTATTAGTTTCATGTGAGAGAGTCAGTGCATGACGATCGAGTGAAGGTATCTTTAAAGGCACAATGTCACACATTTTCGACAATATTTTGGCCTATATTATATATTGGGGACATATGCACTCACTTTAGCTTCCTATTGATGCAATAAAAGACTTATTATCCCTTACGACTTGCCTGAAATCGATAATTGAAACTTCGAGGTGAACAGCATCAAAACAGATATCACTTGCCATAAATGGAATGTAAATAATTGCTCCATACGTCGAAAACTGTTCGAGGTGAAATAATGTTTGGTTGGCAGAGGTCGATTAATTCATTGCATTAATTCATTTGAACACTTTAATTTATTATTTTAATCTAAATACGTAATTTTATTTGGAATAAAGTCTAGGGTAGCTTCCCCGAGGGCTGATAGTATTATTGAGTGTGTATTATTTCGCATATTATTGGTGTGACATTGTGCCTTTAAATTCCAGCCTGAGCCTGCTTAGCTACTGTTAGGATGTATGACTTAAATGACTTCCTCCTTTTTTTTCCTTATGACAGAAGGATGTGTGGTGTGCAGTCAACTACTCACATTGTCAAATTCTCAGCCAGTAAGTCCGCTGTATTTACATCCTTGTTTGTTGTATGTTGAGAAATGAAACGCCAGAGTGGTTAACGAGGTTCTTCGATGGAAGTGATACAGTAGTCAATACTGACAACCACAGGGACATTTTCTTGTAAGCATTATGATGTACATTTTGGATAGTTGCTCTGGTTTTAAAAATGGCTTTTGTTCAATGAGTGTGATGCACAGAGCAGTGTCATATGAATACAACAGTTGAGACATGTGAGCTTGATAATGTTGATTTTTAATAGATTTAATGCGCACATCAAAATTAATGTAATCACATAAATGCAAAAGATAAACGAATACATGTGATAGCATCAAGTTCAAACATTCTGCTTGGGTCATTGTAATAACAATAGTGTCGGACCAAACGTTCCAGAAAAGGATGATCACATTCATTTAACCCAGTAACACCCTGACCAATCAAGGTTGTGTTTTGTAGCAGACATGATGCTGTCAACGAAGTGGGGTTTTTTTTCTTTGTTCGGTACTTGACCTAGATCCTGGATGTCCATAGGCATGACGGGTGACACGTTGGAACTTATAGCTGATATTTAGAGCGAGCTTGAAAAGTGTACGATTACATTACACCGCACCTCTTTTGATTTACGAAGTAGGTGCCTTCCCACGACCACTCTCACCCTACATCGACATGTGTTGTTTTTGTTTGTTTTGGGTTGGGATTTTTTGTTTGTTTGTGATTTTTGTTTATTAGATTGTTGTCTTTGTTTTTTCTCCCTGGCACATACTGTATGTTTAGTCAAATGCGTATTATACGGTTATACCGAAATTATATCTCTGGTCCTTTTGAATTCGTTGTAACCACAGTTTACAGTATATGTCTGTATCCACGGTTAAAATTGATCTGCAGCAACACAGATTTAATTAGTCAGAGCTTAACCACGGTTATGGGTAACTCACTTCTCCTTTAAAACTGTAGCATAACTCCTTTCAGTAATGCAGCATAATAGATATATGTACATGTAAGCGTTGTATCGAAAATAGGCAATCATTCTTCATATACATCAGAAGACCAAAGCGGTAGATATATATAATTTTAACCACACCTGACATCAGGAAAACACATCATTCGACAAAAAGATATGGTAGAGATTATACAGAAGGAACCGTGTTACACAAACCGAGATTCTTCCAACAAGGATCTTTACTTTCAAGGTGACCCGTGAAGATCCGCAGATCCGGGCTAGAATTGGTTTTCAGTAACCCATGCTTGTTCTAAGATGCGACTAACGTGATCAGACGGTCAGGCTCGCTGACCTGGTTGACATATATCATTGTTTCTCGATTGCGTAGATCGGTGCTCATGCTGTTGATCACTGGGTTGTCTGGTCAAGACTCGATCTTTTACAGGCCGCCGCCGATAGCTTGAATATTGCTGAGTACTTACCACTGTTCTCCTAATCAGAAAGGAATCCAAATATATGTCCACAAATGGATAAACTAAGGGTTACAATAATCACCCATCTCAATGTTGTAGTAATCCTTCACACCAGGTGCTGCAGACTGTGTTTCAATTCTCTCGTACAGTGTATCAGGTTTTGTCACATTGTTCTGGTCCAGCATTTCGTAGATAGAGCCACCATCTGTCTGTGTTGACACAGACTGTTGGCAAGTAGCTCTTGATTCATACTTGGACTGCCTTTGTTTTCTGTTAAGACAAAAAGAACTGTTGTAATAACCAAACATCCCCTTAAACCACAACAAGAAAGCTTTTTAAACAGATTTCAGATCTTACCCATGTTATTAAGATATTTACTACATCCAGTAAACGTGCGGGTCACCATATGAGGTCAAGTTGTAGAAACATGTTGTGGTATTATTACATGAACTGCAGTTTGGTGGCAACTGTTATTGATGTTCTTCAACTCAAATTGAAACTTGAAAGTGAGTCTGAGATCAAACTTAATTATTCTTGATAATCATTTACCTTATCAGCAAAACAACCACCACGACATTGACAGAAACAACGACCGCCGCTATCACCCATCCGGCGATTAACAAACCTGAAAATGAACACACACACAATAATGGGTACGTTAGACATCGGTCGTCTCTTTGTGGCTATTGCAGATGTGTTCAGCCGCGGTTTCCATGTAATATTTGTAATAATTATTATATTTATATACACAATTATACTTCCGGGTTTATAGACAATTTCATTTCTACAACTTCGACCCATACATGTGTTGTCAATTTCTTTGAAAGTTTTGTCACACTGAGACCATGGGCGAATACATGTTGTACCAAAAAGACATCACTTGCCACTCAGCCTGGCCCTCGGCATTGTGGTGTTAAAACAAAGAATCGTTGGCTTTTAATGGGATCCACCCCTCTCTGTGACTGAGTTGCGAGTATTGCATACTTCAATGCATATTGCCAGTAGAAGTATTACAAAGGGACATCATTAAAACCAAATTACCAAATGGCAACTACCTCCCTCTATCCAACATTCCATGCTATCGAAAGTGATGTACATGTATAAGCTAACGGTAAAAAAACCCGTCAGTATCTTAAGTGTACTTGGACGTCGTATGAATATTTAAATTCCATTATCTGATTGATCACTTCAATAACTTGAAAATGCTGTCATACGATTATGCACGTTTCTTTCTTGGTGTTTGCGCTATCTGATTGTTCTAGGACAGAATGTTACCACGGCTCCTTTGTAATGAAGGTTACCTCCATGGTCTAGTGGATACCCTTTCAGAATGGAGGTCGGGAGATGTGTTTTCCGACCTCCTGGCTGTGTTATAACAAAAATACATTACTTGTTACTCTACCTGACCCTCGGCATCGTGGTGATAAAACAAGGAATCGTTGGCTTTTAATGGGACCCACCCCTTTCTGTGATGTAGTTGCGAGCATTACATACGTCAGTGCATCTAATTCGCGGAATATCTAACAGTATAATATGACGAAGCAGACAGTAACATATTTTACCTGAGACATGCATGTCTTTTTCAGTTGACACCGTTAACCACACTATTTTGTTTATTTAGGCCCAACATGCCAATGAAACGAGTCGAGTGACACATGTTTTACTACATTTTACCCATCTTATTTATATTTTTAAATATGTACATAAATCTGAATGCGCCGTTAATCCTTATAGACACGTACAAGACAGATATCCCTGCGTGTTAGAGTATAAGGATATCTGTCTTCGCATATAATTAGCAAATTCGCACAAATGATAATTAACAATGTTATACAAATCAGAAAATTGTAACTGTTAGATATAAAGAATGTAAATTGAATGCATTGATATGGTAATGTAATAACACATATGGTGGCATATCACATCTTATGTACATATATGAGTCATTTTTACGCCCTATGAGGTACGTTTACTTGAGATGTTCATACCGGGGAAAGACGTGTGTTCCACTGTTGTGCCTTCAGGTTTACTGTCATCAGTACCAGATTGAGTGTTTGTGACGGGTGAGGATGATCGGTTTTCTGACGATAACACTGTTGTCGACCCTGTGGTAGACGCCAACACAGTAGTATATGTCGAAGTAGACAAAGGTTTAGTTGAACTAGGTGTCGATGTGGAAGATGAAGTAAAGACATGAAGTGGTGATGTTGCGAGTGATGCTGTAGTAGTCGATATTGATGAGGAAATGACATTAACGGTTGTCGTTTGCGGTGGCGTTGTAGTTGATGGAGTTAGTGTCGTCGTTGTCGTTGTAGAAAGAGGGCATTCTATATTTACGCTGGCCGCTACGGATGGAAGAAAGATAATGTCAGAGGCTATGTGATTATTTCAATAGATTTTATAAAATCATAAAGATATACTAACATTTGTTGTTTTTTTAAACTATTTTATTCAAGTGAGCAATCCGGTGAATATAAACCGCTAAAATGTGTCTGTATTGCAAATGAATCACAATGTAGATTTGTTTCATCTCAAATCACGTGACTGCGTGCCAGCTGCTTTAATCATGTGCTTTTTATCTAGCGACAGAAGCCATTCTTCACAAAATCATTTATCGATTTAGTAGTATGTTAACACTTGAAGGAAAACCAAGTTCTATGGATAGTCAACTTCTTTATTGCAATGAGTGCACTTGATCATTACGTTGTTACCCATTTTATGGCCTACATGTTTACTGTCATTGAAGTGAAAACATACCTGCTGCGGTTACCTTTACCTCCACACAAAACCTGATATCTGGAGCGTTGTAGGCAAAGGAGACCACACTGGTGCCTGGATACATAACATATTGTGTCGTGGACGTCCATCCACAGTCTCTCCTTGAGCCATCCTGTAGTGTCAGTTTACCTCCACAGGTTGTTGAAGTGTTAGTCACGCTGACTGGAGTAAAATACACTGTCGTTGCAACACCCGCGATAGTCAGGTAACAGTCACATCGCTGTACACCGCCTGCTGGAGACCCGTGTAGGTAGAACTGACGGTCTGTGGCTGCGCCTCCTTTACACATCTCTACAACTGATATCACATATACGCTTGGAATATGTTATGGTTACACTTATACCGAAGTAGTACAATCTTCAAAAGCCGTTTAAGAAACACAATATTCGATCTTTATCACAGTTTAGGATTATAGGATTATTATTGATAAGATACATGTTGAAACATCAGACACGTACGTATGTGCAAAAGGGATCGTTCATAAATTATTGCTAGGGGGAGTGATGATGGTTTTAGGGGGTGGGTGGTAGGGGGTCATCAACTTTGTACACACGATCTATGGGAGGGTAGCAATTTTGTACATAAGTAATTAAGAAATATAGATAAATACTATGGCTAAAATTTTTGGGAGGGGTTGTCATAAAGTTTGTACATGACATGCAGGGGGTCACTTACTTGGTACATAAATTTTAGAAAGGGGGGCATACACAATGCACATGCTTCTCCCTAAAAATTATCAGCCTAAGTCTGGGCTAGTACGAGCAGTCACACAGACGCTTACACCTCGTCATATGAGCGAAATATACGACGTTAATTTCACCTCACCTCACCTTTCAAAGCTGAAATTCCCCCACATGCTGCCACTGCAATAAACAAAACAAAATAGTTGCAAGTATTGCATAATACAAGCATAAACGCACACAGGGGAAAATATTGGTCGTATACATACAAAATAACTATATTCTGAGGCACATATTCGTATTAACGTCACACGACAAGGAAGAAACAAACAATATAGTCCATTACTCACACTGCTTGAACCACTGGGCATCATGCTTCTTCACTTATGCAAATTGTCAGCAGCATGTCAGTAGCACCTGCATCATAACAGTAACGAAGGAAATACTTACCGCCATTGATCATACTAAGATGAAACAAACACATTATTATGACTCGAGATGTCATGTTTCATAGTCCGTGTTCCACTTACAGCCTCCCTATATTGTACTTCCTGGTAGATGTGTATTGTAAAACGCTATTACATAAGTAGTCATCCGTGAACGGGTTAGCCAGGTATGACATCAAGATCTCCATACGTAAGTATCGTTTACATGAATCGGTAGAGATCCCAGTGAAGTTAGTGCAGGTTTTAAAGTGTGTGGGATTTCAGTTGAACATTGATGCTACATCAGTAAATTGGAGTTAGTTGTACACTATGTGTGTTTACAGTTCATTATTATCCTCATCTTGCTTCTATATATACTCATGCCAATAATGGTTGTCACCACCTCCCACCCCCCAACCCCACACACACCTCACATCCCACACACACCCTCTCCAATTAAAAATTGAAGGGGGTGACAACCATTATTGGCATGAGTATAATTCTGGCATAATTTGTGTGTTGTGATTTATCTATGTTAAACAGTCAGTAAAAATTGTGACAGAGTAAGTACAATGTCAGTAGGCAATAGAGTGGCAGTGATAATTGCAACAAAGTCAGTGATAATATATTGGCTGGATATAAAATTGAAAATGATGTCCACACAACTGTGGATCTTTATGTAATGGGAGACGACATATACAGTATAGATATATGTAATATATAGTTTCATACACACACACACACACACACACACACCCACACCCTCACACACACACACACACACACACACCCTCACCCTCCAACCATGCAAATAGACTGTACAACCGACAGTGCTGATAAAAGACGTGCACTCTATATAGGACCACTTTCCACCACTGATTACTGTGCACAATGTAAGAGATCAAAGGAACATTTCTGTTGTGATAGGTGATGAATGAGTCAGCCTGAACAATTTGACCTAGGTATTGATTTATAAAATATGAAATATAGAAATAGTTATAGCCATATGTCCAAGCTTAATTCCAAGTCTGTTTATGATGAAAGATATTGGTCAAGGACAGTTTTCATACACTTTGACAGTCCAGGGAATATGTTGGTTCATTTGTGTTGTATTTATCTAGAAATTGGATTTAATGTGTAAATATAACAAATTTCTAAGGTGGCTAATCATTATTTTCTGTTCAACAATAATAAAGAACGTACAACATCGATAAATGGGGTTATTAAGAGAAACTGCACCATGTCGTTGTGAATTCCAATAATGGAAATCGGTGTATTTGTCAAAAAAGAATTCACGTCATCGTCAACTTTGACACCCGCCTTTGGACCAACTTATTATCACCTAAGTATTAGGATTTTACGTACGTTTGAATTTTTCATTCGTTGTATTGTGCATTGGTTATTGCAAACATCTGTAACAACTTGCATTCGTGCGCTCTGTGACTACTGTTTGTATATCAGAGAACGTCATATGACTCTGCTGAAAAGGTGGTTGATCAAGGTTTCAAAATTGTGAAAAATGTATAGTATGCATGTGTACTCATTTCCAAATGGCACTTTTCGGAAAAAATACAATTCCCCATTGTGACTATTACCATATGTTCCCGTGTTTTTTTAAAACAGATGCCGTGTTAATGATAGGGGCTCACAGTTTTCGTATACCTGTTATCATCACGACATCGACAATGTTCATAATACGGTCGCAATTAAAAATCGATTTTCTTTCGGTGGACACTTCTCATGATTTATAAATACTGTTTTCTCTTTTGACAATTTAACCAATAAAATAGTGTGGTCGATCCGATTTATTCCGTAGTAGCAAATGAGGACCCCGTTACACAGAGCTATCGTAGCGCTACGACTATCGTAAGCCTATGTTACAGTATAGGAGGTACAACAGTCGTAGCGCTACGATAGCTTTGTGAAACAGGGCCCAGGGTCGTATGTGCGGAGTAATGCCCTTTGTATGTGAATGAGACATTGCCAACAGAAAGCTTCGGAAAGTTGGAGTTTCTGGACCATAGGGGTCAGAACTAACAGGGTTTCAGTGTGTATACATTTACTGAATGGTAAATTATCTTCTTCACATTCCGACTGGATTTGCCGGTTTCAAATACCAATGTAAAGGCGTTTGATCGAAAGAAGACATCAACCGAAGGTAAAACAATTCCATTATTTCTGTGCATGATTTGCTATTGCCTACAAAGGATGCCATTCGACTCCACTGGCCTACCTAAGAATCCGATATAAAAGTGACAGTGCATGCTTGAATATTCTTAAAAAATGCATAATAAAGCGGCATCAGGAGCGGCATCACTGACGCCAGAATCAGGATGCTTTAGTTGCATGTGTGGGCCATAGCCACCATTGGCATACTGCAACTTATAAACATTGCCACAACGTGCTGATTATGAGAGGCTAGTTATAACAAGTTGTTGCTCTTAAATGTTGCATGTGTTGATCTTGGAAAGCCCATTTCAACATGGTAGAGGCCCCGTTGAGATCCTAATAACTAACCCGCAGTGAAATATGCAGTTAATATGCTAAGGTCTTACAACCATATTGCCAATGACATTTGACTGGTGATCTTTTGTCTGGTGGCAAATACTCAATATTGTATACAAAAATAGTAAGTCCTAAACAAGGACATATCTGTGTAATCACATCGAGTTTTCCTGTGAAGAGTTACACTATTTTCGTCCTCAATACAATTGGACAATAATGTCACGATTGACCACAATTTTATGTACAATTCATCACACGATTTATAAGCTGACAAACAAAATCAACAAGAAATGAAGATCACGTTTGTGTATTCGACTTTCCCAAAAGTGTTGTTATCTCCCTTTACATAATATTTTAGAATTATCTCCCCTGAACGTTGTCTTCTTCCGGTGAGTAGTTTCATCAAAATGGCGGAGAAAAGTGACGTTAGCATTGTTGCGAGTGATGTAAATTTTGATTCAATGAACATGAAAGAACTTAGAACATACTTAAGAGACAGAAACCAAAAGGTAACAGGAGTTAAGGATCAACTCATAGCTCGTGCAAAAGGTGCACATGCACTGAAATTACAGAAAAATACTTCTGTGGTTGGACAATCTAACGCTTCTGGTACCCTCGGTATTTCTTTGTCAATAACATCAAAGCTTTGTACGCCGAGTGGTTATCAGATGCCTGATCCTCTTCATCATTAATTACTGGATGGAGCGATGATCTAGAGTTGCTGCCATTATTCACAGAGAGGGACATATACAATTACCTGGTATTGAGCACCCATCGAACTGTGGACAGTAAACCCATGAAAGCTATTCGTCAACTCAAGGCAGCGATATTTTTATGAAGACTGGCACGTCCACAGCATAGCTGTTCACGGTATCTCTGACGACTGTGACCATCTGTTTGTCAGATGTTTAGTTATACCATCTCTACCAACAACAGATAAGAAGAGTAATCCTGACCATCACGTCTGGGTCTGCCTGTCTAAAGTAATAGGCCATATCAACTCTGCTTACTGTACCTGTGCAGCTGGGTAAGTTTTTCAGAGTATTTCAGATAAACATGAATCACTTTTACAGTTCCCTGATAGTAGATAAATTCGTTGTGGTTTTTGTTTTTGTTTGTTTTTGTTTTTACACCTTCTGTTTAAATCTAAATATATATATCTTGATGAAGGATGGCATTACATAACTGTAATTAGATCTTGATTAGGAGAAACATATTACATGCTAATAATTTGTACTGATAATCTGTTTATTCATTGTGTATTATTGTCTAAAGGTTTGCAGTTAACATTATATTCTTCTTATTAGTGTTCACTGACGGATTTATGTCTAGGATGGGTAATATGAGTCAATTAAACACTGAAAGCACAAACTTAATTACTATTCTTTTACAGAGCTGGAGAAGCCTGCAACCATGTCTCTGCTCTGCTCTATGCCTTGGTGGATATATCACAGAAGAAGGAAGCAGGACAACTCTCGTGTACCTCTACCAAATGTAAAATGGATGATCCTCGCGATCGAAAGCTTGCTCCTTTGACCGCCGACGACCTACATCTAATGTCAAGTGGGAGAAGGAGGTATTAAAGAGGAGAAGAGAAGAAACTAACTGCACAGTAACGTCTTCATATATTGATGAACCCTGTGATATGTGTCCCAATACAGGTATGCCCAAAACAAGCATAAATGTGGACCGATTTAGGAAAAAAATTAATAAGTAATGAAAACAAAAAGAAATGTGGATTTGTAGTCACAACAGGTGTAGTAAATGATGAAGGGCAGATGGATGATGTAAGACTTCCACAGTTACATGCACCACCAGTTGACTTTTGCTTTTGTGATAGTGTTGATCTTTCCTCTCAGAGTTGTCAGAATGTGTTTGAAAATTATGCTGAAACTATCAAAGCTACTGAAGAAGAGTCAACAATTATTGAGAGCATTACTAGGGGACAACAGAAGCAGGAGAATTGGAAGGAGGCAAGGAAAGAGAGGATAACAAGTTCTGATTTTGGCAGCGTTTGTCTACGGAGATCCACTACTGAACCAGATAGACTTGTCCACCATGTTCTGGGTTACGGTAAAGATTTTTCATCAGTTCATACGAGATGGGGCACTTCCCATGAGCCAGCTGCTCGACAACTATATGTTCTCAGGATGACTAAAGACCATCCTAATGTTAGGGTAACACAGTGTGGACTCATTGTAAATCCACAGTATCCCTATTTGGGAGCTAGTCCTGATGGCCTGGTGTCTTGTGTTGACTGTGAAAAGTGCTGTTCATCATATGGACTACTTGAGATCAAATGTCCCTCGACACTCAGGGGATCTTAAACCACAAGAGGCTGCTTCACAAACGGATTTCTTTTGCAAATTGGATGAAAATATGAACTTGAAACTTAAAGAAAATCACCCCTATTACTTTCAAGTTCAAGGTCAAATGGCTATTGCACAGAGAGAATGGTGTGACTTTGTAGTTTGGACACTGAAGGGTATTTCAATTCAGAGAATTGCATTTGATAAATTGAAATGGGAGGAAATGTTTCAAAAACTGAAACGTTTTTATGTGACAGCAATTGTGCCAGAACTCTTCTCCAGACGAGTGCATCGTGGACTTAAACTGTACTAATTATCTTCA